TGTGCCAGTTTTAAATATTTTAATATTCCAAACAATCAAAATGAATTTGAATTACCATACCTATACTAGATTCCAAAACTCCATAAAAATCCTTACAAAGATACATAGCGGGTTCCAGTAAATGTTCTACTAAGCTTCTTTTTTTACTCCTCACTAAAATATTTACATCAAGTGAAGGAGAAACTTCAGGAGTACTGTACAACAGTATATTCGAGAAGTGGTGTGAATTATTTAAAACTCTAAGGAACTTTAAGATAATTTGAAATCACATTTTTTTTACCAAATCAATATCATCAAAACGTACGACTTTTCAACACTTAATACAATCATTTCTTAGGTTAAATTAAATTCCAGGCTTTTTGACATTGTAGACAGCTGCTTTTTCAATAAAAATGGAACTCGTAAATCTACTTACCTTGTCATTGGTCTTTTGCAAAATTACTTTGTCTAAAAAACATTCTGATTACACACACAAGTACTCTAAAGTTAGATGCTTGAGTTTCTGATTGACAGCATCTATGTAGTTTTTGGAGATCAGGTCTTCCAACAATCCAACAATTCCCATGGGTACCAATTGCGACTCTTATTAGCAGACCTACTTTTGTATTCATATGAAGCAGAATTGACTCAAAAACTTCTACATGAGCACATGAGAAGAAAACACTTGTTGTGGCCTTCAACCTGACATTTAGATGTATCGACGAAGTATTATCAATTAACAATAGTAACTTCCATTCATATGTCGACTCGATATATCCCAGTGAACCTTAAATAAAAGATACCACAGAGTCTGACACATCTGTTTCATATTTGGACATTTTATTAGAAAAAGATTTTAATGGTAACCTAACAAGAAAGCTTTATGATAAACATGATGACTTCAATTTTTCAATCGTCAACTTTCCTTACTTATGTAGCAATATACCCTTATCACCTGTATATGGGGTTTTCGTCTCCCAGTAGATTTGATAGAGTATACTCTACGTATGAACAACTTCTAAAACGAGGCAAGCTATTGACAAACAAGTTGATGAAACAAGGATATCAACAGTCTCGTTCGAATCATCATTTCACAAGTTTTATGGTCGATACAATGACCTTGTCAGCAAATATAACCTATCATTAAGTCAGCTGACTGGCGTTTTTCATACTAATTGTTAGGCCATTATTTACAAACTGAATTGTCTACGGATTTTTCCGTTTTTCCCGATCATGACAAGTAGCACACGGTGGATTTGACCGGTCGGCAGGGAATGCTCACTCCTCCATGGCACCTGAAACACCTCTGTTGTTCTGGAGGTCCATGTTTGCTCTGCTCCGGATTTGTATAGTTTAAATGGACTTTGAGCTTGAATATTATTCGTTATCTCCAAATTTCATTGGTAAAATTAAAAAAAAAATGGTCACATGTTTCAACTTTAGACCGATTACAAAATGCAAATTCAATTTAAACCAGCAGCACTTTCAAAATTTTGACTTTTCCTCCGCTGTATGCTTTTTTGAATAACTTAATTTGATGATTTTATATATCATTAGAATTATACATATATGAAGATCAATATAAGGACTATGTAGAAATAAAACCATATCGCAACGTCGCAAAGGCTGTTGATAACTAGAAACATTATGCAAAAATTATCAGAATAGCTGTAGTAAATTAACCTTCCACAAACAATTTAAATAAAAAAGTTAAGCATTAATGTACAGGTATTTCGATTTTGAACAATTCTTGACGCAGTAAACTTTGATCCAGGCAAATTTTTCAAGTAGAGATTAGGCGAAATTTAGTTTACACCTGCAATGAAGTTCTTCAAAAATGAAACATTTCTTACACATTCATGTAACATTTAAGGAACGCGTGGAATGTATTAAATGATAATCCTCCTTCGAACACGTTTTGTTTTTGTTTGTTTGTTGTTTTATGTCCCTTTCGAGAATTTTACACTCATATGGAAAATCACCACTTGCCGGTGGAGGGCTACCCTATACTCGGCTCTCAGGGGCCATTTAGCAGTGATGGATATTTTTCGTGTCAGCACCGTGCGACACGGGACCTCGGTTTATACGGTCTCATCCGAAGGACCAGTCTCCACGTCCCGCAGTGGATTCGAACCCGCGACGTAAGGATCAACTCCTTACACCGCGACTCTAGAGCAAACGCTCTAACCACTGCGCCGCGTGGGCGACTGGAAAACGTGATAATTCACATTAGCGGCAAAACAACGAAGAAACATTATTTTAAATAGTTTTTAGCTCAAGGCCACTATATTTACATCCACTAGATATTTTCTCATTTGTTTCTCATGAAAGCAGACTGCTGTTTATCAAAAGCAATAAACACTATTTCTCAACCACAGGTACTTGTGGAGAGGAACACCCCCCCCCCCCCACCACCACCCCCCGATATTCAACCCCGGGGCTTGTTGGACATTTTTTCACAAATTATATTTATTGCACTTATTCATCACGTGTACCATAGGAAAAAATCGTGAAAACCCCAAAATAATCGTTCTACACAAAAAATGCCTCATTATACATTATAAGAGAGAAAGGTATGCCACTCCGGTTGTTTACGTTGTACCCCCACTGGTCTTTCTGGGTTTAAAAACATGTATTTATTTTATTTTAACCTAAAATGTCGGTTCACATTGTCTATACATATATTTCTGTCTTAGTTCATACTATGGGATTGACTCTGCATCTCGTGAGAATCCCACAATTAATCCTTAAACAGCATTGCAGTCAGTGCGTTGAAAAATACTTAGGTAAACGCAACTTCCGTTGTGTTTACCTAAAAATTTTTCAACGCACTGACTGGGGTGCAGTTTCAGGATTAACTGTGGGATTCTTACGAGATGCAGAGTCAGTCCGATAGCATGAACTAAGACAGAAATATATGTAGAGACAGTGTGAACCGACATTTTAGGTTAAAATAAAATAAATACATGTTTTTAAACCCAGAAAGACTAGTGGGGGGTACAACGTAAACAACCGGAGTGGCATACCTTTCTCTCTTATAATGTATAGTGGGGTATTTTTGTGTAGAACGATTATTTTGGGGTTTTCACGATTTTTTCCTATGGTACACATGATGAATAAGTGTAATAAATATAATTTGTGAAAAAAAATGTCCAACAAGCCCCGGGGTTGAATATTGGGGGGGGGGGGGCTGTCCACAAGTACCTGTGTTCTCAACTAGTTAGGTTCCTTTTTAAGCCATCTTTTATAGAAGTGTCAAAATTCCTCTGACATTAATGTAATACATATACATATCGTATAGGTATGATGTTTCATATAAACTGTAACTTATCACATCTTGTCTATAAACCTTACCACACTTTGATTTCTATCCTCCTTCCTTGTCGATAGATGAAATGTGAAAAATTTGAATACTAATCAAACTCAAAAATCTATTTGAATATTATAAAATGAGAACAGAGCAAACACGGTCCCCTTGGAAACATAGGAGGTGGGATCAGGTGCCATGGAGACATAAGCATTTCCTTGTAGACATTTATCACCCACGGTGAGCATAACGTGACCTCTGTTTTTAGTTAAGGTGTATTTTTTGATGGGTAAACGGATTCAGTTTAGACAAATCAGCATAAATATAATGGCTTAACAAATTTTATCAAAAAAAGACTGTCAGCATTCGACCTAAGAACAGGCAAATAAGGTCAGTGTATCGACATAGAATTGGCAAAATGTTGAATTTAGAGTGATTGATATCCATGGAACATCAACGTCTTTGTCAGTACCCTGCCTCGATTCCAATACTTGTAGAATGAACTGGGGGCCATTAACACCATATGCAGGTTATAATGGTATATTGCTCTATAAATGAGGTAAGCTGTTAATAAAAAATACTCAAGTCCTAACCTTTTAAACTTAAACATAAGCCACACATTCTGGCGTTGTTACCAAATGAGGACAGAAAGAAATAGTAGTTCAGATAAACACGAAAAATATTATGGACGTCCACCCCGGATTATACTGGTTATTGTTTTTCATTGACACTAACTTCAACATCTTACCACAGGGGCCGATAACATACGAAGCTTGATTTTATATGATCCCTAATTATATATATATATATATATATAGAGAGAGAGAGAGAGAGAGAGAGAGTAATTTGTTTGTTTGTATATTGTTTAACGTCCCTCTCGAGAATTTTTCACTCATATGGAGACGCCACCACGTGCCGGTGGAGAGCTGCAAATTTGTCCTATACTCGGCACTTACGGCCATTGAGCAGTGAGGGATCTTTTTCGTGCCAACACCTACTGCGACACGGGACCTCGGTTTATACGGTCTCATCCGAAGGACAGGTCTCCACGTCCCACAGTGGGATTCGAACCCGCGACGTAAGGATCAACTCCTTACGCCGCGACTCTAGAGCAGACGCTCTAACCACTGCACCACGCGGGCGACGAGAGAGAGAGTAATAAAAAATGTTACCAGCCACTACAAAATGATAAAAATCCGATACAGGCGCAGAGACAACATAGAAATTGTGAGATTGATTTTATGTCCCTTGCATTCGAGATATTTTTCACTCATGAACAAAGGTCACCATATATCGGTGAAGAGCTTCAAATTTAGACCTATATTTGGCATTCAGGGCCATTGAACAGTGAGGGTTCTTTGTCGTGCCAACGCCTACCGTGACCTCTGTTTTTAAGGTGTTTAGAAAGCCTCTTTTTTTCAAATTCTTTCCATAATCAAATACATTTTAAACGCTTTAAATGCAAGATGTTTGTTGGGCTCATAGAAGTGCAAGCACAATAAGGTTAAAATTACCGAAAGGTTGCGTCAGAGTTGTGTGCTTGGTACAAGGATTACAATGCTCGGAAAAAACCAACTGTGAAATATTGTGCTAGTATATTTATTATATTAATTATTCATTATACCTTCAAGGGAAACTATTATAATTTACGTTAATTGAATACATTTATTTCCAACTGTCTCCGTGACTTGTTTCAAAATACAACAAGAGGTGGTTTAATTTCCGTCATTTATATGTCATCCAAAATTACTAACAACGTTTTCTTAACTATCAACAAAACGTGATATGAATACATGTTTATGACGAAATGGACATGCTATGAATAAAAATGTCAGGTTAAAAAGACTGTAAAAAAACTATACATACATACGTGTATTTCAGAGAGAAAGAGAGAGAGAGAGAGAGAGAGAGAGAGAGAGAGAGCTGTAAACATATCTCAGCAATGAATCGACTTGTCTCTTTAATCCTCAATGTTTATAAATGCATTAACATCATTGACTCAGAATTACCTCTGTACATCTGCTAATGAATTTGCACACAAAGAATTTTGTTATTATTTTAAAAATCAAAAGATGAAATACTGTGCAAACATATACTTTTGATTTTACTAATTCATAATATGAATTGAAAACGTTTCCAGAAATCATTGGGGTTTTTTTTTGTTTTGTTTTTTTTTTGGTAGATTTAAATTGACTGTATGGACACAACTGTGGATTTTAAGTTATCCCCATAAGTTATACAAACTCCAGTATGCATATGTTCAATTGCAAAAACCTGACAATTGTGAAAAAAAAAACCTGTCAAATTTTATAACTTTATTTTACATTGTTCTATGAATTTAATCATAAAACAGACACCTTTGCTACTACTTCTTGTAAATATGTCAGTGTGCAATAAATACTACATTTATAAGTTATATTTTTGGCAGAAGTCAATTTGATTGATAGAGATGAATTTCGTCATCATTTCTTGCTACCAATGTAAGCCATGAAAATATAAAACAATTACTGTGATGAAATACCTCACTGTAGCATTTCAAGTCAAAATCAAAGAAAACTTTGACTACATACTATTCAGCAAGTACATACTTGAGCACTGTGAAAGACACCCCCCTTTCAAGAAAAAAAAAATTCCAATGAAAACATGATTGTATAAACTCATAGGGTCCTGTAAATTGATTCATTAACAACCAAAAAAAAAAAAAAAACATAAAACAATAAAAACTAGAAATTGTTGGTCTTTTGGCAAAATTATTCAAGTCCCCCTTTAAATGAAAAACAAAGAAAGAAAGTTGAACATACATGTGTGATGATGTGAAAGACTGACATAATGATTTTTCTACAATAATTTACTATTTTACCCTGGATTGTAGTCTATTACTAGAATGCCCATTTCTCTTGAATTTTGTGTAAGAATTATTATTTCAATTTTGACAGAATTTTTTTTTTTTATATTTTCCCCTTCATACAAAAACACAAATCAGCAGTTAATCAAGTTCTACAGTAAGTGTTAATAATATAGTTTTTTTTCTACAGCACTACAAATAATACCAAATAAATGGCACTTTCAAAAAAGGTTCTAAATTATATGCATTTATAACAATACACTAACAACAAATCATATTCACAGAAAAAAATTATATACAGTCAAAAAATAAAAAAAGGAAAAGTATCTGCATTGAAAATCAAAGAGCCTGGTTTTGATGGAGTTTGATCTTCAGCATGTCTTACTTTTTTAAACATTTCTAAGTACTGTAGTAAAATTAAGTAATAAAATCAAACTAATAACATCTTTTTTACTCATATTATTTATGATATGCTCATGTGAGCTAAGATGAATTGTGACTTAACCAAAATAGTAAGTGTTCAAGGCAGTAAAAATGCAAATGTCCAAAAATAATAATTATTGCTGTGTGAAAGAGTTGTCTTTCTTTGGTTCTCTGTGCTGTTCTTGTCAATAATGCCCAATATTGTAATGAACACAAATGAGACAAAATATACAAAACATATCATTAAATATATATATATAAAATTTCTTAATTAGAAGCATGACATTTTTGCAGAATATCTTGGCATAGATCTCCTCTCCTTTGCTTGACAGAAAATGCAGTACATTTATTATACAGAAGTATGGGTCTCAGTGTGTAGTTTTGATATATATACAAAAAAATAATGCTTGCAACATGAATACAACCTTTGATCCAGTATTGCCATTTATATAACCATGGAATACTTTTGTGGTCAGTAACATCAAAGTTTATAATCCTGTGTCTCTTGCTTGGAAGGTAACTGAAGGTCATTCAGCCAACCGCCCTAACACAGATTCTTGATTCATCTCCAAGTCCATACTTTGAATATGCTCTGTTTTTGGTCCTCAATGTTCCATATAATGGGGGCATTTCTTATGCCTGGCTTTTGGTGGTCTCTGTTTGAAAAGAATGATACTTTATGGAGGTATCAATTCAATCCAAAATAATAACAGCTCCCCCTGAGGATTCCCCATTCAATTTAGGATAATTGGGATGCTCTGTAAATCAAAAATGTACAACGGTTCACTTAAACCCACCACAACATCTTATAATGACATAAACCATATATATAGCAATAAATAATAAATTTTGTCATAACAGACTAATCCTGATACCAGGATGTTTTGATTTCCAGATTTAAAAAAAAATTAGATAATTTATCAGGAACAGGTGATGCTGTTCTATATCTTTTGGTCTAAAACTTCTTGATTTCTTGATTTTTGACAGACTTAATGCTACATCAAAACAAAATAAGAAACAAACAAACCAAAAAAAACAAAACAAAACAACCCCCCCCCCCAAAAAAAAGAAAGAAACAAAAAACAAAAACAAACAAACCAAAAACAACAACAAAAGGGAAAAAAACCCCAATAAAAACAAGAAACAAAATTTAAAAAAAAAAAAGAAAAAAAAAAAAAAAAGATCAAAAACAAGAGTTCAGAAAAATATTAAGCACAAGATGGCACTATGTCAATCAAAATCATGTAAACCTTAAAACCGAATAAATGCAATTATTCAAATGTCCCAGTGTTATAGAGCTTATTTTTTTATTTTTTGTTGTTGTTGAAATTATTGATTTTGAAAGGAAATCCTGTGGATTACCTGGAAGTAGATGAATTTTTCAAAACTTTATTTCAATAACTTACCCCCTGTTTGTGATTCTTGTTGACTCATTAGTCTTTGTACAGTTGCTTCCAGTCTGCGACAAGGTTGCTTACTGGCTGGCCCACTGTTTGTATTTAAAGGTCGCTTTCTTGATAAATCCTCACTGATACTTTTGGATGGGTTTTTGTTTGAGGTAGATGTTTGGCTACTCTGACTATCACTAGTTGACCCCGTTTTTTCTCGAAACACATAAGAAAGTTGTGGAAAGTATTCATTTAAGTCATTGTAATTGATCATTTTGTTGCACTTAAGGACTGAAACAGGTAAACTGTAGTAGTGAATAAATGATTTTTCTTCTTCATCTGTGCAGGTAACTAAGGGAACCTTTAAAACATTCTCTAGAGCATAAAGAAATTCATTCACACTGCAACCATTGAAATACAGTTTGCACACAGCCTCCACAAGGCAAAACTTGCCCTGTCTTCCAGGCCTGTCTAAATGCATACAGGAAATGCTTTTGCCTGCAAGCCAAACCCCTTTAATACTTTCAACCAAAGCAGGTGGCGTAGTTTTGTTTTTGGTTTGATTTTGACCATTCTGAGAAACATTTCTCTCCTGTGGCAATGAAACTGAAGTGTTTCCTGCTACTCCATTGACTTTTGGGTCACTGTTTATCTGTTGTCCTCCAGAGGGTGGAGCTGTTTGGGGACCATTTGGAAGACCCTAATATAAAAATAAAATTCATTTGTGAGAAGTTTTATCATAGTGACACAGTCACTTAATGATAATGTAAGTATATCTGGATCATGTAAGGTAATATTTTCATACCATACTCAGTAAGGATTTAACTCATATCTATGCCTTGGTACCATTATCATGATTACCTGGTTAGACTTGGAATTTATTTTTCCTGTATTTCATTTTGAATAAAGATTTAGGGTTCTGAGAATTCACAGAAACACCTTTCCAGTTTTTCGTGGTAATCATTTGCATACTACCCTGATCTTTTTTTAAAATGCCCCAGGTAATCTGGTACATAGGCCATTACACCAGTATTGTGTTCAGTGAACTAGGCGACAGGGCGGACCAAATTACATTCCTTTGTTAATGGGTTTCTTTCCGTCTCCAGTATTGAGTATCAAAGTTATGGTTTTGAAAGGCTTGACGTATGAAAGAATAAAAGATTTTTAAACAGCTTAGAAGTTGGATGCCTGCCATAGAGGGCTCACTATATAGTTATAACTGTGTTCAATGAGATTATGTTTAAATTTACTCATGCTACAGGTACACAGGCCTGAGTTTATTTAGTTTGTACAAGGTGATTGGCATGAAATTAATCAAATCTAAAGTTTGACAGAAGCCGAGCCATAGATCAAAGTACATTAATCACCAGAATTAGCCTACTTCAAATTTATCTTGTCAGCTCATCATCAAATGTACATGTACAGTACTGATATAAATGTCAGATATTTATCATTCTGTATGTTTATGTGTATGTAATATGTATACTTAGTTAACAAAACATAAAAAAAAACTTGTTTAACAATGCATTAACAAGTAAATTATATACAGTTGTATTGTAATAGATGATCAATAAAATCTTCTTTTTTAGAGCACAACAACCTATGAACCTCAACATAACTCAAAGTTCATTTTCAGATCTATCTTGAGTGATATTATGCAATGTAAAAATTTGCAAAATCCTTATTACATAAATATAGTATTACAGTATATTCGAATCATCATCATTTATATTTTTAAAAACTGTAAGAAAAAGAGCATGTTTCTATCAGATTACATCCATAAATATACATACATGTAATCTCATTGGAAACTGCAGCATATTATACACTCCTATCCCTTGGACTTGTTTAACGATCAAAGCAACATTTGTTCATATTTTTTTAGGACTCAACAATACACATATTTCATTAATTTAAACTATTTTTCAATTAAATTTAGGGGCACTGACTAGAATAAGATGAATAAAATCAAGGTTGCTAGCCTTCAAAGGCTTCACAATTAATGCAATTCATATGATGCATTGCAAATTTAAGGCATTTAGCAAATAAATTACGATAAACCTTTTCATGGCTTATTGTCAAAGTGATAAAATACATACAAGAAATACAATAAAGTGTTTAACTGAAAGCTTTATTGTACTGCCATATGCAAATTATGCCTCATCAAGTTTATGTTATTTGGACATAATTTTCCACAGATACAGTATGAAACTATATGAATATATTGAGCACAACATGAACACATGACTGTACATGCATTGCTTCGAGAAAAACCAGATATCATTGGTTCTGTAAAATTTTGCCAGACTAGACAACATCTGCATTTGACATGTTTGAGAATTTAAGAAATGTTTTGCAAGAATGCATAACATCTGGATTTTGAGAATTTTACTATGCAGTCAAATTTATGTATTGATATTGTTAGTGGTCCTAGAGCTTTGAATGCTGTAAATGCCCCCCCCCCCCCCCCCCCCCCCAGAGAAAAATGTTATTACACTAAAAGCATTGCTTTTTTAAATAAATATATATATATGTATATTTAAGGAATCACTGTCTAATTAGTAGAGTATGCCAGGGCATCAACGATGTGGGATAATTTGCATAACGGGCAAAGATGCGTAAATTATCCCACATTTCCAATTATCGTTGATGTCCCTGGCATACTCTACTAACTAGACAGTGATTCCTTATATTTCCATTTCATTGTGTAATAAAATTGTAAATTTAGATTTTAAAAATGTAGACTAATAGATTTAAATTACACAAGGCCTCATATGTCAATTTCAATAGTCCCCGCCCACTGACGTCAAACACAAAGGCAGCCGCACGACATTTACATGCATATTAGCCCTCCTTAGAGTCAGACACAAAGACAGCCAAACGAGAATTACATGCATATTAGGCCTTCTTAGCTCCTGACCTTTAGCTTGGCTAAATTTACATTCTGGTAGAATGATCAAGAAATCAACTCAACTAACTTTCAAAGAGTTATCACAGAGAAAACAAATAGAAATGGAAATATATATATATATATATATATATATATATATATATATATATATATATATATATATATATATATATATATATATATATATATATATATATATATATACACATACACACACACACACCCACCCTTACACACAAACACACCCTCACACATACACACCAGTCCTCACTACTTAAACTGTTTAGGTATAGTTAGCTTTAAGTACAATCTTTACTATCAATATTTAATTATATTGAACAATCCTTTACAATCTGACTAGAAACTTTTAGCTTGTGTTGTCTCTAAAATTTTGCATACATTTAAATTTTCAAAATATTAAAAGATCCCTACATTATTCGATGATAACCTAAAATACTAAATGTATTTCGTTCACTCACCTGCAATGGCATTCTACTGGCCTGTTGGCCAGGTGCTTGATGAGGTCCAGACATGTTGGGAGGGGGTGGAATATTCACTGTTTTGGCTCTCATGGTCATTCCCTGGCCTTGCTGATTAGGAGGTACCATCTGTGGCAAAGGATAATTTGGTACAAAAGGAAAACCCTGCATATTGCTGGTATCTGGCATTCTACTAGAGGAGGATCCTCGAGGGGTGTAGGGTGGTCTACCAACACTTCCTCTTGGTCTACCTGCCATATTGTATTGTTGCATGTTTGGAGCACGCATGCGAGTATTCATCTGTGAGGGATGATACATATTTGGTGGTGCATTGTTTAATGGAATCCTTGGTCTCCTTCCAGCAGTAGGTGACACATGATTATTCATGGAAGAAGGTGGAATATTAGCATTTGGGCTCCTGATTGGAGAGTGAGATGGTCTCATTTGATCTTGAGATGGGTAAGAACTACTTTGTTGTCCTACTGGAAAATGTCCATTTTGGTATGGGGGTCTGCTTCCGGGTTGGAAGCTAGGATGAGGCTGATTGACAGTCACATTAGGGGGACCGTAATTTACTGGGTACATAGGATGTCTGTTATATGTAAACACATATCTGGGATCCATGTATGGATATGGTGGTGCCATGTAGGGACCAGGAGGTGGGTAATGAGTGGCTTGTTCAGGTGTTAGTTGTTTATCAGTTGAGACTACTGATAATTCAGAAATGTCTTGTCTCATTGATTGTGGAGATGGTTGTGTTGATGCTTGTGTCTGCCCAGATATGGAAGATATTACCGTGGATGGACTTCCTGCTGAGTTTGGAGAGGTGCATGAGGTGGATGATGGGAGATCTAAATACTGTGCATGCTGTAGAGGGTTTTCCATTGGAAGTTCCATGATGTGAACTTGGCAGTGTTTCAATATGTCTGTTAAACATATGATTCTTGTTGTCATGGAAAAAGTAAAGTTAAAGCCAGCCAATTTGCAAGCTTTGTTTAACAATTCACATTCTTCCTCAGAGGGCAGCACACCCTTTTCCGGAATACTTAGTGCAGCTGCATACTTCATGACGGACAATGGGACAAATTTTCCATATTCGTCTCTTCTCACATAGGGAGTCACAGTATTGTTCACCTGTATCCACCCACAAGGTTCATTGCTATCATCTGATGGCTTCAGATTTACTTGCATGGACTGCAAAGGTGATGATACCATAGACCCATTAGCATTAGATTCAGTTTGCTTGGCCTCTGGAAATGTCTTTTTAACAAGATTGTAAAAATCCACAAAGTCCTCTAATAGTACAATTAAATCTTTGGAATTAAACTGTTTTTGGCCAAATTCACCACCACAGTGCACACTATTGATTTCATTCAATAGTTTAGCTTCATGGACTGTAATGAAATAACTTGTCAGTGGTTGATGCTTGCCTAGTTCATCTGGATATGAATTTGGATACTTGCTGAGAAGTTTTTGTTCCACAATACGAACTGAAACAAATTGTTTGTCTTTTCTAAATATATAAGGCACATTCACCCCATCAACCGTAGTCCATCCAAAAATCCCCTTAACACTAGAGAAGTCTATTTGATTTTCTGATACTTTTAATTTTTCTGCATCTTGTTCACCACTTACTCCATTTGTGACCTGACTCATTTGTGAAACTGATACTGTTGTGGGTGGTGGGAAATATGGTGGCTGTCCTCCCTGGAGGTTTGGTGGTGGAAACTGGCCAGGAACTTGGCCATATGCTGAGTACAGCTGTGGGGGCATGTGTCTGTATCCATTATTTAATTGTGAGGGGTGGGAAGGGGGACCTCCATTATGGGAGGGCAGTGCTGGTGATGGCTGGACCTCCGTAGCAACACGGTATCCAGAATCTTGTTTCTCTGCTTTTATTTGCATATTCTGCATGCTACAAATGCCTAAAATACAAAAGAAAAACCTCTCAGTTTTATGGTTAATACTTACAAGAGGCCCAACCCACATCACTCACCTGAGCATTTGGGTAGAGAAATGCATAAATCCATTAAGTATTGAAAAGTTTAAATATGATTGGTCCCACCCTACCCCAAGGTGTCATGATTTGAACAAACGTGAATCTTCTCTGAAGATGCTTCCATATTTATATGCTTATCATGGATTTGCTGTTCTTCAAAAGATTATTACAGAATTTTTTTTCATTTATGTTCTTATGTATTAGTTGGATCTTTGATGGTGACCCTGTCCTACTCCAAGGGGATATGATTTGAACAAAGTTGAATCTAGTATTATCTACACTACCTGAGGGTGTATCCAAATTAATATGACTAACTATGGCTTTGCTGTTCTTCAGGAGAAGATATTTTCCTATATATTCCTATGTAAAAGTATTAACTCCTTTTGTAGACCCTGCCCTACCCCTTCTTGAGAAGTCTTAAAGATTCTTCTCTACATATATTCCTCTGTATAATTTTGATCCCCTGTTGTGGCCCCACCCTACCTAATAGGATCAGGATCTGAACAAGCTTGAATCTACACTACCTGGTTTTTTTCCATATTAATATGACTAATCATATCATGATTTGAAAAAAATTGAATCTATGCTATGTAATGAAGCTTTCAAACAGATTTCATCTTTTCTGAATTTTTCAATTTTTCAGAAAATTGTAAATTCTTCAATCAGCCAGAATATCATTGCTTATTTCACACAATATTTCTGGAATATTGAATATTGAAGAATATTGAAACATATACCAGTATAATTGTTTAACTTGCTATGTACATGAAATGGCAGGAATTTTCCCAAAAAAGAAAACAAAATAGAAAAAATTAGACTAAATTTATATGTGAAAATATACATGTGGTATAATGTTACATTCAGGAAGAGAATTCTAAATAATTTCAGACAGGAAGGGGATATTAATGCCATAAGTGTGATGCAAAGCATGGTGCCGATAAAAGCACCACTTATCAATCACTTACTGTTAACTGAAAAGGAATAAGTATCCATGGTTTTCAAATTTAACAAAAACCTTACGCAGATTATGCATGATTTATTAATTTTTGACTGAGCTCTTACTTAAATTTGAAATCATTTTGTATGTTAATGAAGACAGATTACTACATAAAAAAGCATTTTTTTAACTAACTTTTTTAAAATAAAAAGTGTATACTAATAATTACAATCCTGTTTTGTAAACAAGGTGAACAATTGATCAATTTTACCTTATGAAAATCTTCATGTGGGGGATAATACATCAGAGTTGTTAAGTCCTATCAAACTGTGTGCTATATCCTCTGTAAATGAAAAAAAAAGAACATTTTTGAAGAAATCATCAATTTATTTTATAGATCTCAAAGGATATTTTGTGCATATATTTAATAGGCAATGGAAATCATTAAAACAACAAAACACTTCAATCCTTTCAGCCATAAAGGAACCATCCATTAATATAAATTAATAGAATTAATCTAGAGATCTCTTTCAAAATATAATTGTAGTCTGTTGGATAGTGAAGTTGAAGTTGTAAACTCCCCCCCCCCCCCCAAATTTTTTTTTTTTAAACATTTTTCTCTGTAAAATGAACAACACTTCCTCTTATGAATCAGACATGTAAACTTGAATTTATAAGGAGAAACATGTAAAAAAAAATTCTTCTCCTTTTACCATGTTTACAAAATAGTGGCAAGACTGGTCATTGAAATTAATGACTAATATAAAAACATTATTATCTTGAAGTTCACTGTAGGCAAACACTTCAAGAATTTGAGGATTTTTTAAAAATTGTTTTTGAATGCTTTGTTAAAAACATGTTCAAAAAATTCAAAAGATATAGGTATATGTATATATATATATATATATATATATATATATATATATATATATACAGTCCCTGAAACGTTCTACTTTCCCACTTGAACGGTGAGCGAACGCTGAACGAACGGTGAACGAACGCTGAACGAACGCAGAGCGAACGGTGAGTGAACGATGTGTGAACGCTGAACGCAACTTGGTGAACGATGTGTGAACGGTGAACGGTGAGCGAACGCAGAACGCGAACGGAGCGCAAACGCGAACGCAAAGTGAACGGTGAACGAACGGTGAACGCAAGATGAACGATATATTCGGAATGCCTCTGATCTTTTCCTTGCATTGAAACTATTTTATTGTATTATAATGTCAGGTGACAAAAAAAAATAATAAATAAGTAAACCAATAAATGAATGAATAAATAAGTAAATAAAATAAATTCTCCAAAATTGTCCTAAGAAAGACGATTCATGCACATTAAGTTTTTAATCATACGATTTTTAACGCATTAAAACATTGCAATTGTTGCCGAACGCTGAAGTATAAAAGATATTTTTTTAGTTGGAAAATAAAAATGTTTATTCTTATTTGATAACAAATCAGAGAAAACTTCTGACTTATAGAATGAATTAAAGCGATTGTAACACCCATTCATATATCTCCGTGTCAAGGCGATTTCATGTAAAGTAATGAAAAAAAAAATTAATTACAATGGTCAGTGGACGTTTTGCATTTATACGCTCGTATTTTAAATTTTTAATACAATATTTATCTTTTTGCTGCAAATCAAACAAAGCTAATAGTTTTGCTTGGGCGAGATGACAAAAAATATATTATGTGTCATTTCTATTTTTCATGATGATTTACTGAGCAGAGTTCTACATGTATCTATAGATGGCCGTGATTATACTCATACAAGATAATACAAAGATACATATTCATATTATTTGTTATAAATTCAATTTTCAGAACTTGATATTTAGGTAATATGCTGTTATAATTTTTATTAAACAGACAAATGAGAGAGAGAGAGAGAGAGAGAGAGAGAGAGAGAGAGATTCCGTTTCAGCCCCCCCCCTTCCTTTCAAGCTTCACTAAATGTTTGTACCTATATCAAACAATAACTCTGAAATTTTTTTCTAAATATATTAGACAGTGAAAGTAACTTCTTCTTTTTTTATCAACAAATCATATCCATTTGTTTGACAGTCATACTCGTTTTTATTTTCCTGCTTCAAGTTCACACGAACTCCACGTGCTTGTCCTGTCAATCAAAATCATTCGACACTGTGCAGGTGTGCAGGTGTGAAAGTTTCGTCACATCGAAGACGAAGTGCGAGTATTTCCAACAAGTTATAACATTTATTTTTATCATTTCTAGATTTGATACCAACATTTGAATAATAAATGAATAAAATATATTGGGCATTAACACTTGAATTTGAAACATACTCTCTGCCAATTTCAAATACCACCACCGACACGTGTACATTGTGAACTACTATTGTTTTGTGACTTTTTTAGACGCATGTTTGTTTTGAGACTGAAATTTTTGTTCTACAAAAGACCTTAACTTTTTTTAACAGGTTAATTAAAATTTTCTGGAAATACAGTACTGACTAAGTAACCGATTTAGGGGAAAAGGGGGGGGGGGTATTAATCATATCAAATGGCAAACATATAAAGTTACGGTGAAGAAAGAATTTTTTTTCTCTATAACTATAGACTTTACATACATGTATTATAGTAGCGACAATTCTGTAGTGCATTTCATTTTAAGTAAATATTTCCTTTAAACACATTATCAATTTAATTCGCTCCAAAGATAATAAATTAACAGGATATCCGCAGTACTATGTATAACTCTCAGAACTAGCTGTATCATATTTTCTGTAGTAACTGAATTAAAAAAAAACGCGTTAGAAATAAATATTTTCATAATTTTGCTGCGTAATTATTCGACTTGGATAATTATATCTCCATAAACGATTTTTCGTCTTTAACAAAACAAAATGTTGCAATTCTTGAAGTATTTGCACATTGCCCTTAGTTAAATTTAATATTTCAGCATCGTTCTACATAGGTACAGAACGTGCTTATAACAACATTTATTTTCCAGAGTAATTTAATAAATAACCTAATAGCTAAGTTAGAATAATAAAAATATATATCTTAGATATTTTCCTCCATGAAATAATGATTCTTCAAACACGATATGTTAGTTATTAAATTAAAAAACCTGTATCTCCTTACCTACAAAAAGATAAGTCCTTTCACTTGGGAGTTCCGAATGGCAATGAAAACTGAACGATAGGTGAACGCTGAACGCAAGGTGAACGCAAAGTGAACGGAACGAAGAGCGAACGCTGAACGCTTTGTGAACGGTGAACGCGAGCGCACGGTGAACGGTGAACGCAAAACTGTGAACGGAGAGCGAACGGTGAACGCACGGTGAACGAACGGTGAACGCACGCTGAACGAACGGTGAACGAACGGTGAGCGAACGGAAAAATGGGAAAGTAGAACGTTTCAGGGACTGTATATATATATATATATATATGTTTGAAGGGAATTGGAAGTCCCAACCATATTTTTTCTTTATGTATTTTAACCAGCTCCCCAAATATCTTGAATCCACAAATATCTCAAAGCTTATTCTGGCCTCATCGTGTTTGAGATATTGAGTTTCAACTGTAATTGCTATTAGAGTTTAAATGACATGTCCAAGGAATATCACTTGTCACTCAGTCCTCAATCAATTTCTAAATGTTCTCTGTGTACACTATTGGATCTTATAATCAGTTAATTAATAACATTCGTGATTTCTGTTCACAGTTAAAAATCTTCATGGATTAGTTAAAAAATACCAATCTGAATAAAAATTCAAATGCAATAAAGTACATTTAAATAATTCCTTACTGTTTCTTATCACTACTGTATTTGTAAGCTAATATGCTTGAATTAACTTGAAATGGAAATTACTGAGGAGGTAATAATTTTATGGTAATAATTTTAATATTGTAATAAATCTTAAAATGATTTGATGAACAGTGATGATTTAAATACTATAATAAAAAAAAAATTATTAGAGAACCATGTATTTTCTAAAAGATTAAAATTTTTGGCAATTAATTTTCTCTAGCCTGATTACATTTGGTTACATATCATGTCCATTGATACTATCATTGTACCATGATGTCAAAGCTCTGACCTTGTTGTCATGGTGGCTTTGTTAAAACACAAAATGCATAAATGATGCAAAATGTAATAAACAGGGATTATTACATTTTGTGTTATTACATTTTGCATCAAAATCAATGCAGAATGTAATAACATGTTAAAGTGTAAAAAAGAACACTTTTTGGATAATTGTTTTTTGTGTTATTACATGTCAATGAGAATAATGTAGAATGTTATAACACAAAACAAAATAACACACTTTTTTGGATTATAAAATTTTGTGTTATTACATTTTAATTTTAGGTTAACACAAAATTTAATAAAAGGAGCAATTTTGACCAATTTAAATCATATTTCCAGATGTTTCAAAAATCTGTTAATATAGGGTGGCATTTAAAAATAAAATATAAATATATTCCCATTTTGTGTTCCTGACATTCTGTGTTGAAAGTTGCCCAAACTGTTATTACCACCAACTGGAATAGGTACTTGTGTTATTAGAGATAAAAACTTACATCCTCCCAAATTCAGGGAGAAACCAATTCCCAATTAAGGTCAAGATCTAGCAAATGAAAGGTGCCTACAAATTTCTCAAATTTAACAAATGGATTCCTTTAATGATACTTTATAATTATAGCTTTGTAAAATTAGGTGTATCGGGACATAATTTTAGGTAAGCTCAACGAAAAAACATTTTTTAAACTGTCATTTTCAATGAAAAATGAAGAAAATCAGATATAAATATGGGAGTTTTTTCCATCTCAGACAAAGGAAATGTATCCAGATTGCCTACAGTCTCTCCGAAAAAAGTTTTTCATATCTTCTTGACCTTTACTTTAAAATGATATTCAACTGAATATAGGTATCCGGATTACTTTTAACATGATTTCAAATTGAATTCAATGAAAATGCTTCATTTTCTACATAATTCTGTTATAGCTGTAAAGTACGGGAAGAGGTAAGTTTAAATTAATTATGACGTCATAATGAATCTAGCACCAAAAAGACAGTCTAAACTCATTTACTAGATCTGGACCTTAAGGCACTACAATATATTATAAAGAATTTCCAATTAAATATATTAGAAAGATATTCTCATCCTATTTGAGTTATAGAAAAAAAATAATTTGATGTCGTTCAAAATATAAAAAACTTCCAAACTGAAACTATGGTTATCATTATGTTAAAGCAACTTTAAAAGGATTATGACATATCATTTTAATAAACTTTGCCTTGTAATTAATACAAGACATATATTAACAGAAAATGCATTCATTTGTGGTGACAAAAAGTGATTATAACCTTT